TTTTTTTTTTTTTTTTTTTTTTTTTTAGTGGCTGCATGATTTGCAACAACCTTTCTGCAGGAGGTTATTTAAGAAATAAAGCAGATCCATAGCTTCTTCGATAGCCGAAGCTTAGTACTACACAAATAGTGACAGCTGCAAAGATCAACAGTGCCAGACCGTGCCATCAATCTTCCAAGTCTCGAGCACTGTTGCTGATAACTGGATTCACTATTTGGTTTATTACAGCCTTGTAATGCCAGAGCGATGTTACCTGTCCCATTTATCAAGTAGGTTTATTTATTGGCAAAGTAGCGCCAGTGCTATTCAAGGATGTAATAAAGTAATGGAGCTGTCCCATTCTAGAAACGCTCAAAGAAAAAAGAACCCTTATAGGTACATAGTATTGCACTTGCTTGAGAAATACAGATTTAAAAAAAAAAATAAACCAACCCCAAAAGTTCAAGAAGATAAATTAACCAGACAAAACATCATTGTTGTGAATTGAATCAAATAACAGAGCTTGACGTAGAAACTTGCAGCCCTCTTAAAACATTTTAAGCCCTAGTTTTGCTATGTTGATGAGAGCAAATGAGGCCTATGCACTCTGTCACAAATCTCAAAAGACTGATCTTTTTCTTTTTACTTGAGTTTTTGTTCGGTTAAAAAAGCAGGTAATGCCATTCAGGTCAGAGGTCACAGGTCAGAGGTACTCTTCTCCATCTTGCATGCTTTCTATTCTGGTTGAACCTTTTCAAATACCTGTGTTCTTCATGGTTTCACTCCTGTTACCCTTGTCATTCAGTCTCCTTGCCGCTAGTCTCCATTTCTCTTTTCACATTTCTTCTCTATCTTGGGCAGACATCAGTACTGTTGAAGCGTCTGTCTCTGATTGGGTGCTTGTTCTGAAAGCCAGTAATATTAAGTGTTTGCTTTTCTTTCTTTTAATGGTCTGAATGGTTTATAAACGGTGTGATGAGGTTAAGTATATGACCGCAGCACAAACGTACAACTGACTGAAGCCTCCAATCAGAAAGCACTTGAGCATGCAGATCCATCCCTTTTCAGCCCAGCACTTTAGCACATTAAAGCATATACTTGATCCCCCTGAAATCAGTAGGACTTGACACGTGATGTGCACTCGTGTCTTCCCATGCGCGGTGCCTTCCCAAAGTAAGGCCAAGACCCCAGCCTTACAGTCAGAGCTGCCTAGGTACAATCCCATTCCCGTGTCTGCATTGATTTCACTGCAGGAGCTGGGCCTAGGGAGGGAATATTGTGGGCGCATTATGGCATCCATAAGTCCTGCTTGGACCGTTGGGTCTACCAAAGAAGAGACATTGCCTCGAATCCTTCCTAAGTCTTACAAGACTGTCGGTACTATGGAGTTACCCTCACAGTGGAGACCTGTTTAATAAGACCCATACCCGTGCACCTTACTGCTGAACCTCAAATAAATGGGGTACAGCTGATGCGATGGAGGCTAATATTCCTCCAAATAATTTGCCTAGAAAGCAGCTTAGGTTGGTTTGAGTTCCCAAACACAATTACTGACTGAGTTCAGATTCTTTGGAAAATGCAGTTACATGTTGCATGCAAATGTCCTTGATTAAAAATGGTCTTGGAAAGCATATGTTTTAAAATGTCCTTAGGCCAAAAGGAAGGTTGAGATCATTAATAATCTTATTTATAATACTAAAAGAAACCAAATGGGTAGAAGACGTGAGGATGGGCAGTTTCCTGGTGGGAGAGAATCCCAAGCTATCATTAGACATGTGGCTCTTTGCATTCAGCTCTGTCAAGTGTTAATTAAAGAGGCAATAAACCAGGGAGGAACAGAACATTGCTGAATACCAAACACTCAGCGAGGCTTTCTTGAAGAAAGACACGAGCCCCTCCAAAGCCTTTTGGAACAGAGATTTTTCTTAATTCCCGCTCAAAAAAAAATGTGGTTTGTGATTGGCTTTTGCACTCAATGACAAATAGCTGTTGTTGCCTTGCATTTAATTACGCTATTGTAACCAGCCCCCCATTTCCAGATTAAGGGCTCAAGTCTGCTGTTCCCTGCAGGAGGGCAATTCTGTGGCAGCCAGTCACCAAGTGCCAAATTTGATTTATGATTTTTTTTTCTTTCTAGGCAGCCATGGGTGCTTAACTGATCATGTGACCATTTTTAATCAGAGTCTATTTACATATTAGTACCTACACTTCATCTCAAAGCCATGGGGGCCTAACAACACAGTGATTACAAGGCAAATACGGCATCCATCTGAGTAACATGGGCAGTGCTCCGCCAGGGTGAAATCCTACGGCTCACTCAAACCCTGTTTTGGGGGCCAAGAGGTGCACAGGCCTTGTGCTAGGGTGAATTTCACCCACGGAAAACTCCTGTCATTTAAATCAATGCAATCTTACTGATTCCCACTGGGGTTGCACTGGTATAAACTGGAAGAGCTTCTGGCCCTCCATTTAATCCCACTGGTTCGGCATGGGTGGGGATTGAATACCCAACTCTAGCGCCCGGAAGGCTAGCCAGCAGCATACGTTGCGAGGCGTGCCCGCGCCAGAACCGGCGCCAAGCTGACTAGTGGAAGCGAGAAATGTAGAAACTGCGGAAGGGGAATGAAAATCTTGTTGCGTGTCCTGCCGGATGATTAATATCATTTCATTCTTTTAGATCTAATGCTGGATGATGTAATAATGGAGAGCTCAGCCAGTGCAGTGCAAGGTACTGGGAAGTCTTAACGTCGCGTCTCACTTGAATGGCGGTGCTGTGTAACTAACGGCTGGCCAATGCTGCTGTGAGGCATCCCACTAAACTGTGTGTGGTGGAAGTCTTGTTTGCTCACTTCATGGCACACGTATATCTTTTTTGCTGGCAGGTCTCCTGGCCTGACTCGGGACCAACACTTGCAAATCCTTAATTTGCACCTTCATCATATTTCCCACCCCCCCTCTATTTTTGGTCATTTTTCTGATTTTCATTACAACACTGTCAGCCTTTCTTTTTTTCCTTCTTCGTTTGTTTTTGTTTTCTTTTTTTTAAATTTTGGAGAATAATGACTGGATTTTGAATAGGGTCCATGCTAACTTCCTGACCAGAAACTTTGGGAGCTCCTGGGGATTCTGCAGCAGTGCCTCTGCAAGTCCCACAGTTCAGCAAGAGCAGGGTATTTCTCCAGCCTCAGCTTTATGGCATGTAGCTTGAAGAAGCCAGAGCAGTTAAATCAGGATGAGATTCCCACGCAAAGTAGTAGTGCAAAGCTTTAGGGCAGGGGTGGGCAAAATGCAGCCCGCGGGCCAGATGGGGCCCACCAGCCCATTCTATCCAGCCCGCGGGGCCCCTAAAACATTTAGAAAATTAATATGCATCTGTCCCTGGCTGCCTGTCAAGCAGCCCTTGAGGGCTTGCCAAAACTCAGTAAGCAGCCCTCTGCCCAAAATAATTGCCCACCCCCACTTTAGGGGGAACTTAGGGTCTATGTGGTTAGCTCCCAAGAACCCCCTAATGCCCAGCTCCACCAGGGCCAGATAGATAAGATGAAGGGATTATTACCATCACGCTCAGAGCCTCCTGTGGAGGGTACAAGGTTTTTCAGACTGGCTGAGTGCTCTGTGTGAACACCAGTGGTCCCTTGAGAAGATGTGCATATTCCTTGATGGGGCTCCAAAACCTTCCCCTCCATCCAGCACAGCTTTAGGAAGCAGCTTATGCGGAGGTGACTTACTCAACCTGATGCTGTGTACACTGGCACCTCCCATTAAATGGCCTCATAGATGGCCCTCAGCTTGGTCCGAGCATGTTTTGGCAAGGAGGGCTTGACATCCCTGTCAACAAGCCAGTCAGGACAAGTGCCGCCAAGCTGTCATTGCTATGCAGACTAGATGCGAGGCCCTAGGGAATCAGGGGAAAGTTGTCCATTGACTCCACTGGGAGCAGAGACCCCCATGTGAAGGTAGCCCCTTTTCCCTCACTACACTTCCCCACTGTGGCTAGTCATTTTTTTTTTTCAAATGTTGTTGAAATCTATTGCCAAAAGCTCACATTTAAATGAAAAAAAAATGCTTTTGAAACTGTTTTCCTGCCTTCCACTTAGCTCTGTTCACCTTTGCAGCCTTGTCTTCAGTAGAATTGTTAAGTTTCTCTTGTACGGTTGACACCTCCTAATACATCAGGCTGCTCTTTTCAATCCAGTGAAACAAAAAAAAATGCACCTTCCCCAGGAAAGAAAGGGCAAGCTTCTTCTCCGATAGTTGAGGACCTAGTCGCACCCGAACCCGTGTGCTTATTCACGCCCCCCCCATCCATTCATCCATTCACTCATTCGTTCACCAGAACGGTGCTTTTGGGCTGCAAGTCTTTTCCTTCTCTATTTGTTTCATTTGCAGAATAAGCTTTGATCCGGCAAGTTATTTTGCTTGAGTCATACTGTAAGGAAGACTTTTAGCCTGACTAAGTCAAGATTTGTTAAGGGTGACATAACCGTATTGATAGTTTCAGTGGAAATGGTGCATTTGCGTAACTGTGCCCATAACATTTCTCACCACTTGAAACGGTGAGTCCTCACCCCGCTGCGCTCAGTCAGACAAACCTCCCGTGAGAAGTGAGAGGGAGTGTTGCTGGAGTACAGTCTGCAAGAGGAAGCCCACTGGCCTTTCATTCATTGCAGAGAAACAGTTCAGGCATTTAGGTAAGCAGAGGTTTTGAGGAAGTCCCGGCTGAGAGAGCCCCAACATGCTTTACTGAATCCTGAATCTCCTTAGCCTTGCTGTTTTTTGTAGTTTTATTTCCTTGCATCCATCCTCCCAGTTCTCGTTAGCAAACCCATCCTCCACGCCTCAATTGGATGCCACTGCCTGAGGGAGGAATAAGGGAGTCGAGTCCTTTGGTGACCTTTTCTTTTTGGTTTTATTTTTGGTTTTAAGCATCTTCACTGCATCTGACTCGTTTTCTGGTTACCCGCAGCTATATCTAAGACATTTTTATTTGTTTTTTTTAATGCGCTGATCTCATTCCAAAACCAGCCATTATCCAATGCAGACTCAGAAAGAGCCATACAGTTTGCCTTTAAAAGTGTGTGATTGTCAGACCTGTGCTTTGTGTTTCCTTTTGTCGTGTTTTATTTGGAACCAGCATTATTGAATATGCCATGCTGCTCTTCAGCCGTCAGAATGAAAGGATAGAAAGATGCCTTTCAGAGCCTAACCAGGTGTGGTGCTAGGGAATCAATATTGATGCAAACCTGCGGGAGCTTGATGAGAAATCTGAATTTGAGAACCAAGAACTTCTCTGTGTCTTTGCATTTTACAAAGGGCTTCCTGTACTTTTATGTGAAGATGAGATGGAGTATTGTGTGCCTGTGCTGTTTCCCAGTGTTGAGTTGAGATTTATTTTGCACCTCCGTCCCATCACAGCTGAAACTTCTCAGTGGGAATAACGTATCACTTTCCATTTTGCTTGAAAAGTGCCAGCCAGTGCCCTAAAAGGCGAACAAAGCAATGTGTTTAAATGTAGACGTTCCTTCAGTGCAAAGTATTTTTAACCGAGTAACAGTCTTCACGCAGTTTGTAAATCCAGCTGCTGATTTGGCTCAAAGCTCTTTTTTTTTCCCCCAGGTGTCCAGGCCCCAATCTATACTCCTCTGTCCCTAAGAAATGCATCCTCCTGCCATAGACCGGGGGTCCCACTGGAATTCTTGCTTCTCTTGTGAATTCCACCTACCGCTGGCTGCGTCGCCCAGTGCAGTTCTTCTCCGAAAAGTGACTGTGGAAAAATGGCAGCGTTTGGACGGATGCTTTCTCTCTCCAGCGCCCGAATACATTTTGTAGCCACCTACTCCCACAGAGCAACGTGATTAGTAGTTGGGGGCTTTGATTATATTCTGGCTGCCGCACCACGAGCAGGATCCTTTGCTAAATTCTAACCGGGCCATTTTCGTGGCCGGCGGGAAGAGCGGTGCACGGCTTGCAGATGCCAGGCTGAGAGCGTACGTGCTTGTTTGCCCGCATCCCCGCTCGGCAATAAACCCAGAGTCCTTTAATGCCATTTTTACCAAGTTACTTTTCCGAGGGAAACCACGCTCCCACAGTAACGTATAACAAGGGCCCTCTTGACCCTGCACCTGTTTGTCTACTGTGCTCCACTTCCAGGCTCTTGTTGAGGGGATCATGTGCCAATATGACCCCACTGCATGGCACGTACAGTGGTATGGGGACCCCTGTTCATGACACTGCACGGAGTGAGGGGCCAATGCATATGGTCAACTAAAACAAGGGTTGGGCACCTAAATCCCCATGGCCATGACAAGTGAAGCGAGAGCACTGTTTCCTAGTATAAAAGAAAAAAAAAAGGAACTCTGATGCCAGCTCTCAACCTGTCGTAGGATTATCCACCTCCCTAGGCTCAGAGTCAACTGCCCAGCCCCCAGGGTGCTTGTTGGGTTTGGGGTTGGTTTTTTTTTTCCAATTTAACCGTTTCAAAATATTTGTCTCTTCCTTCTCTTTTCCCACAGTGAAGCAGCTTGATTTAGACCCTGTTTTACCTGCTAGATGTTTTGTCACAGGCTTTTGCTGCATCTCCCCATTCTCTTACATTCTCCTTCTTCCATTTCTTTTCTTTTTTCTCCCCCCCTTTAATTCTGTGTGGGTCAGGAAGCTGGTTAACCTTTTTCAATAATAACCTAGACTAATCTGGAGCTCTTGTTGTTCTTGACACAGTGTATTGTAACAGTAGAGTAATGTGGTGTTGTGTTAGTTGTGAGGTTCACCACCTGGAGTTGAACAGATGTCTGTATTTCCCAAGGTGTTGGTATTGTTTAGCTCTTTACTGCAATAAATATGAACAGTGCTGTTTGATAGGCGGCACGGACTTTACGCCTGGATAATTACATATGGACAATGACATATGCATACGCCAGTCTATAAATGATCTTAAACGCGGCTAATTTATATCATCAGCAAGAAAAGCAACGCCTCTGTTCAAAAAGCTCCCTGCCTACCTAGATACAGTAGCTATTAATTTGTAGCCCACAGGCAGCATGGTATTTTTGTTTGTGGTTCATTTCAAGGTAATAACTGTATTCTGCTAATATGCATGACCAGCATGTTCAGGCTGGAAGAACTAGAGGTGGTATGATTCATAAACAGGGTTGACAAAACTCCTATTAATAAAGTTACTGGCAGAGAATAAACTATTTACTGCCAGCAAATTACTAATGTAAAAGATGTGCCTGTGACGCCAACTTTCAAATTCAGTCAGGAAAAGCATTTGACTTTGTGGAAGCAGAGGGGCACGTTCTCCAAAAAGGTAAAAGGGAACCAATTTGCAAATATATGGACAATTAGCAACCCTGATTATAAGGTCATGCCGTAACTAATCCAGGTGCAACATCTTCTGCACAGGTGACATTTTACAATCTCTCTGTAAATCCCTGCTATAGTCTAACAGCTTCAGTGCTATTCTGTAGGATTTGGAATCGCCTGCCAATCAAAGCTGAAACATTTGAATCCCAATGTAATTATTCATAAGTAAAGCCACTACAAGCAAGGGAAGAAGCATTAACATTTTCCTTTTTTGAATGAGAATTAGACATAAATACAGAAGAAATAAGTGATCTAATTATGATGGTGTTTCTTTTTGGAAATTCGAACTTGGTTCATAAATAGGTCCTGTTGCTAACTTAATTGTATTCAAACATTTTAGTTAATTTGCTACTCATAATTTAGCATAATGTGATCAGGATATCTTGCCTTTATGGAGATTTATGCAGATTTTAAAATCTGTGACGAAGCCCTATGAGTCAGCAAGCCACTAGTCTGCCTTTTTGTAAGCGCTCAATAGACTCAGCATTAAAATTCATTTTATAGACCTCTTCTTCGATATTATGCTTTTGCATTTCAGTACCGATCACCTACAGCACGCTGCAGATCGGAAAGCGAAAATTAACGCTGTCTTTTATTTTATGATACTAAAGCAGAAATTGGGAGTTCCAAATCCTTACCGAACAAACTGCTCTCTGATTTGTCTCTCCCATCCCTGAGCTGCAAGGGAAAAGCCTGTCTGTGGAAGAAACGCAAAAAAAAAAAAAAATGCTGTGATTTTAAGGTCACAAGTTATGAAGCAAGAAGCACATGATGACTTTAAATCTATAGCCAATGACTCTGCAGTCAAAGCCATCATCAAAGCGGACACTGTCCCCAGCAAAATTTAATCTTCTAAAATTAGTTTCCCCTGGGGGCAGCCAGAACCTATACTTACACTGCGGCTTCCTTCTGTGCAAAGTCCTATTTGGAGTAATGCATCAAACCCTCTATTTGTTCAGCAGCACCAACTACCAAGGCATGTAATTCTCACAGCTCAATAATTTTCATAACCAGTTGATCATCTAATTACAAGAGTAATATTATACTCTGACATATTCAAGACAGTCCTTTCCACTTCAATCTGCATTATAATGCCTCCTTGGAAATTGTGCTGAATTATATCCTCGGCCTTGGCATTTCTTCATTAGAGGTTAGGTGAGTAAATTAGTTTATCTTCTGGAACATTCGAGGTCTAAAGAGCATGTGTCATCCTGATGCATCTGAACATGGAAGTGAATCCAACAGCGAAATCGATGCTTCGGTAACCTCCTGTAAACGGAGGACCATTATTTTCTAATCATTAAAAATGACGGATCAGTTTTATTTATGAACCATATTTTTCAGAGCTGTGACAGCTGAGGTATTAAATTGTGTTCTGTCCACAGTGTACCGCGAAGGACATAATATAGGCTTGTTACTACCTCTCCAAATAAGACCATTCATTGAAGTCCCCGTATTTTTGAAGCCATTGTTAATACAAGCCTTCCATGATATCTGATCATTCAGTTTGCTCTTTGGATACTTGGAGGAGGAAGAGGCTAGTTTAAAAAATAGAGCTTTTTAATTTCCTAACAATTAAAAAATTCTTTAAACCTACAATTGTGCTCGCTGTGCTCACTTCACCCCTAATAATGAAAGGCTGAGCGTTGTGCATGTCATGTTGAAGATGTTTAAGTGGAACTGATAGTAGCCTTGGTATGTATTAAAGACAGTAATATGCTGCCCAGAAAACAAAAATGCAAAACCTTATTGCAATCAATCTGAAATGCATCAAAGTTTGGAGTTGAGAAAGTGAAGGTGAATTAGCACTTGAGACCCAGAGACATGACCTGCTCTGCCTTTCCCTCTTTAGAAGCGCAGTGTAAACCCTACTATTCCGATTACTCTCGCTTCCGGCTCCTGATCCACCAGATGTGCACGAGCCATTACCTGGACTTGTTCATCACGGGTGTGATTGGCCTCAACGTGATCACCATGGCTATGGAGCACTACCAGCAGCCCAAGGTACTGGGAGACGGGGGTTCGGATGAGCAGAGTTGCAAGGACAAGAAAGGCCCTTCCTCTCCTTTCATTGAACACCAAAGATGGGCAGGCCCGGGGCTGACGTGGTTTGTCAGACCTGCGGCTGTTGGGTGATGGTCTTGCACGGTCAGCGCCACGCTGATCTGGATCAGGAAGCCATCGCCGTTCAGGCTGGGCGGGAACGCGGAGGAGTGAAAGCCCAGGGTCCTGGCATCTGGTCCTAGTTTTGACGCCTCGACAGGCCACTTGATCTCTCTGTCCCTCAGCTCTTACCTGGCGCCGATACTGGTAGGGCCTGGCTTTCAAAGGCACCGAGCACTTGGAATTACTGTTGACTTGTTAGCCGGAGTGTGGACTAGCTGACACCTGCAGCAATCAGATAGTTAATGTATTAATATAGCAGCCTCCTTAGTCTTGGGCAGATTCTGATAATAAAAACAACTTGTACTGAAATGCCAAGCAGCGTGTGCGTAAGAATGAGATGGAAATGGCCGCTTCTGCAGTATAAATTGTAGTTATTTTTATTAGCCACTTTCAGAATGAATGGATACACTACACAATAGGGGTGAATTATCCTTCGAGGCTAGACAAAACCTGAATGTCTAATGTAACAACAACAAAAAAAACAAGCCCCAAGGAGAAAACAATACCCTCCCAGCCCGTCATAAAGCAGCCAAGAAAATAAAAGGCACAAGCCCAATTTCTTTTTTCCTTGCAGGTCACCTTTAAATATACAGGAAAAAGTGTTACACGATTCAGTTATTTCCTCTGAAAAATAGATCGTTAGCTAAGGAACTTGTATTAGAAATACTCTAGGGTATGTTACTTATGAGAGTCACATCATAGCTACGTTTGTACTTGTGTGACAAATATGTTAGATGCATTTTTTCCCTCTTAGGGAAGTCAGATCCTGTATCAAAGCCCCCAGTATTCGATATGTACGGTAGTAACGCCCAGCCTGGGTCCCACTGAGGTGAAGAAAGCTGCAGGTTTGCATCCCGTTATGCATGTGCTTACATAGCTTGCTGAATCAGGGCCCAAGTGAATATTTCCTGCTTGGATGGCTGATCATCGCTGTGATTATCATCCTGGAAATGTTTAAAGAGATCTGTGCTGTTGAGAACTTGAGATCTCAGATTGCAGCTCCCCAGGATACTGATGCTGAAATTGGTAATGAGATATGGATGGAGGCATTTGGCATGAGGTCACTGGTTGAAATCCAGTGCATGTCACTATTGAGTAATGACCAGCAATTTTTGCAAGTAGTGCAGCAATATGAACAGAGACCTAAGCAGTTTAATCAAACAGCTCTTGACCAGTTCTGCTTTGGCTAATTACATTCTGCCAGTGCAGTTCTGGCTGTACACATTCCCCCTGGCACAGAGTTACACTTTTCCGTGTAATGGGCTTCTTAATAGTTGCAGCTTTCTTCCCCAGAGATGGAAGCATTTCAGTGGCAATGTGAAGCGATTTCTCTCTGATTAATATTTGGAGCAAAATTGGGTCCTGAAGCCACAGCCTGCATGGGGAGAGGGGTGTGATAGGCATATAAGTACCGGGCTCCAGAGATCACAACTACTGTCTACGAAGCGAGGGCATTCTCTGCTGCTGAGAGACTGGCTTAGTTTTGCACAGGAGCACAGTGAAGCTAAACTTCAGTTTGATTGCCAAGACAGGCCTGGGAGGACTGCATTGATGTGGGCCTCAAACACAGTAACAAGCATCTGTCCTTCTGATGGGGCCTAGCATAGAAGTAAGGTTCCTGGTTTCTTCCCTTTAGTCCTTTCCTGCCCAGGGGCCAGACCCAATCAAGGTCATAGTTTGCAAGACATCAAGATGAGCCAACTGTGTGCCCTTGTTGTGAAGAAGGCTAATAGCATCCTGGGCTGCACTGGTAGGAGTGTTGCCAGCAGATCAATTATTCCCTTCTATTCATCACTGGTGCGGCCACATCTGGAGTACTGTGTCCGCCCATTGCAGAAAGGATGTGGACAAATTAGGGAGAGTCCAGTGGAGGGCATCAAAAATGGTTAGAGGGCTGGGGTGCGTGACTTATGAGGAGAGGCTAAGGCAACTGGCATTATTTAGTCTGGAGAAGAGAAAACTGAGAAGGGATTTAATAGCAGCCTTTAACTATCTGAAAGGAGGGGTTTGAAAGAGGATGGAGCGGGACTGTTCTCAGTGGTGGCAGAGGACAAAACAAGGAGCAATGGTTTCAAGTTGCAGCAAGGGAAGTTTAGATATTAGGAAATTAGGTACAGGTTAGATATTAGATGCAGGTTAGGTATTAGGAAAAACTTCCTCACTAGGAGGGTGGTGAAGCACTAGAACAGATTACTCAGAGAGGTTGTGGACTCTCCATCCTTGGAAGTTTTTAAGACCCAGCTAGGAAAAGCCTTGGCTGGAGTGATCTAATTGAGGAAGGTCCTGCTTTGAGCAGGGGGTTGGACTAGATGTGACCTCCTGAAGTCCCTTCCAACCCTCATTTTCTGTGATCTTTAATAGAGACTGAATAACCCAGGCACTGCAGCAACACCTCTCACCTTACAGGCCCCTTGGAAGAAAAGTCCATTCCGTGGCAACCTCTTGTATTACTTCCCAGTAAACCACAGTGTACCATCACCCCACTCACCATTGTATCAACAAATTTAACAACATAACCCCCGCAGTGTCCCTTACCCAGGTATAACTGTTACATCTATTGGCAATGAGAAATACGATGCACACTGCTTACAAAGAAAAAGCCAGATGCTGTTACTGCTGCCTTCATCAGTCTGATCTCTGGGATAATACTACCCCTAATGTTACTTAGCAGTTGGTTGTTCTGTAGCTGTCACAGCCAGAGGGCCCAAGCTGGGAGGTGAAACACTGCAGTTTAATATTGCCTGGCACTTTCCCCATCCTTGCCAAAAATTTTAGGTGAGAAGTAAATGCAATAGCCTGCACTGTGCATGTCCTGTAGTCTGGGACACAACTTCTGAAAGCTCGGAGCCAACTTGTGCCTCTTGCACTGGTGCAGAGGGGTGATTTAGCCTGCCTTCCCCTCACTGTGAATCAAATTCACCTCCCTGCAGACAGCTGGCGGAAAAGGCATTTGCATCTCTTAAAGCCTGCAAGTGCTTCTGTTTCTAGCTTAGTCATTCTTATCTAAATGCACCTTAAATGTTTCCCAAACCTTAACCTGCATTGCTGATAACAAGGTGGAGGCTCACGTGGGGCTCTAGCAACA